ACCACATCAAAGATTCTTCTGGTAGGTATGGCTGGCACCTGTCTCTCTCCCAACCCACAGCACCTTCCTACAGAATCAAAGCCTCCTTTTACATTTACAGTTCCTAGCAGAGACGGATTACCTAGTCAGCAAGGTAAGCACGGGCTCACTTGTGCTTACTTTCTAATCTACAGTGAACAATTTCACGTTTTTCACCCCATGAAAAATGTGGTGAAACCCTTGTGAAATTGTTCGCTACAGATTAGGAAGTAAGCACAAGGAAGCTCATGCTTACCTTGCTCACTGGGTAATCTGCCCCTGCTCAGAGGGTGACCTGTTTTTGGCCACTTTACCTATCTGAGCTTCTGTTTCCCCTAGTCTGAAATGAGAATACCAAATTTAGCTCAGGGGGAGATTTGAGGATTGTATAAGATGATCTACAGCCTGCCCACCACCATTACTGGCACCTGGCAGGGACCTCAGTAAAGGTGTTCAGCTCCATCCTTCCTCTGGTAGAAAAAGGATGGAAAGGGAGCCAGAAGCCAGCCCCTTACAGCCTGAGCCCTCCTTCTCCAGGGAAGCACTCAGCAGGCTAGCTGCAGGCAAGGTGGCTGTCTTTGCTTCCAGAGGTTGTTGCCCTGGGATAATGGAGCAAGTAAGAGTGGAGCAGAGTAGCTGGATGCCTGTACCTCATTTCAACCAGAGTAAACAAACAAAAACCCTATATTCTTTATGGAACAGTCACCAGCCCCTTCTTCCACGGTGCCACTGGGTGGATTCGAACCACTAATCTTTTGATGAGTAGATGAACACAAACCATTTGCACTGCCCAGAGACCCTTAACCAGAATTAAAAATAAAGAAATAAAGAAACAACCACCACCCTGTCTTGCCGTCAAATCAATTCCAACTCCTGGAAACCCCATGTGTTACAGATTACAGCTGAGCGCCATAGGTTTTCTTGGCTATAATACTAGTGGAAGCAGATTATCAGGCCTTTCTTCTGCAGCACTGCTCGGTGGGTTTGAACAGCCAACCTTTCAGTTAGCAGTCAAGCACAGAACTGTTTGCACCACCGACAGAAAGTCCTAAACTCTCGGATAGCACTTTTCAAACAACAGCAGCTTCTTGAAGGTCCAGTGGCCCCACCTGTGTCCTTTGCTGCTATTTCAAAATCTCCAATTGTGCTTCTATGTGCAATACAAGGCTTTCTTCCCAGGTACCTCTGGGTGGACTCCAACTTTCAACCTTTCTGTTAGTAGCCAAGTGTGAAAGCCATTTACACCACCCAGGGATGTGTGTGTGTGTGTGTAATTTTTTAATTTATATTATTTATATATATATACATATATATATATAAAATACATACACACATATATACATGTTGTGTGCTGTCAAGTCGATTCTGACTCATATAACGACCCTGTAGGACAGAGTAGAACTGCCCCATAGGGTTTCCTAGGGTGTAATCTTTATAGAAGCAGACTGACACATCTTTCTCCCACAAAGAAGCTGGTGGGTTCGAACCGAAGACCTTTCTGTTAACAGCTGAGCACTTAACCGCTTTGCCATCAGGATGTTCTCTCTCTTCTTCCAGGTACTGTTTCTCTGGAGGAACCAGACTGATACTGCTTCTCTTTGAGTGTGTTTTTTTTAAATGTCTTTTTAATAATGTAATCTCTGGACTAGCAGGAACCGAAAAAACCTGTTGCCATTGAGCCGATTCTGACTCCTAGTGGCCCTATAGGGCAGAGAGGAAACGCCCCACAGGGTTTCCAAGCTTTGATTAGCAGCCATATCACTTAACTACTGCTCCGCCAGAGCTCCAGGCCAGCAGGCAAGAGCCACTTAAATCATAGGCACTTGATGTCAAAATGTATCCAACCAAGGAGAAGCTCTGGCAGCCCTTCTCCACGCCCACGGGGCGCTTCCCCTCCTGCCTGTCCCAGGCCCACCCTCTGGGGAGACGTAGCTAGCTCTGTGAGTCAGTGGGTGTCCAACCAAGAGAAGCCTCATCAGCAAATGGTTCTCTTCAATGACGCGGAGGCCCCCAGACTCTGCTGTAACGGGCTCGTGGGAAGGGATGCTTCTCTGCATTTTGAGGGCTGCACATAAAACCTGGGTGCTTTTCCCAGTTTTGCTCCACACTCCCTTATACACTTTAATGGACTGTGTTAAAATTCTCCAACGAAGCCTTAACATAAAGGGCTGCTGACTGTACTGATGTACCTACCTCTAAAGTTCTGTAGTTGTTGGAATTACTGCAACAAGCTTGCTTTCTTTCCTGGGAGACAATTATGATATCTAAAGATCTGTCAATGCAGCTGTAGTCTAGAAATAAATAACAGATGTCCTCCGCCCAGTTGGAGAGGCACCATCTCACAGCAGAAAGAGAACTGGGTGGGGTTAGGGGGTCTGAGTGTCATATCCTGGCTGTGTGGCTCTGGGAAAGTCATTTTACCTCCGATAAAGCGAGAGGGAGGCGTTGTTGGTTCAGTGGTAGCGTTCTTGTCTTCCATACAGATCACCTGTGTTCCATTCCCAGCCAATGCACCTCATGCACAGCCACCACCTGTCCGTCAGTAGAGGCCTGCGTGTTGCTATGATGCTAAACAGGTCTCCCTGGAGCTTTCAGGTTGAGACAGACTAGGAAGAAAAGCCTGGCGATCTACTTCTGAAAATCAGCCAAGGAAAACCCTATGGATTACAGAGGTCTGATCCCCAAGCAATCATGGGCATGGTGCAGGACCGGGCAGCGTTTTGTTCTGTTGTCTATACCAGGGTTCCTTAACCTCGACACTAGTGACATTTAAGGCTGGATAGCTCTTTGTTGGGAGCCCTGGTGGCGAAGTGTTTAAGAGCCCAGGCTGCAAACCAAAAGGTGGGCAGTTTGAATCCACCAGCTGCTCCTTGGAAACCCTATGGGGCAGTTCTACTCTGTCCTGTAGGGTTGCTGTGAGTTGGAATTGACTGGATGGCACACAATGACAACAACAGTTCTTTGTTGTGGGGAGGGGGCTGTCCTGTCCGTGACAGAATGTTTGTTTGGCAGCATCGCTATCCTCTGTCCACTAGTTGCCAGTAGAATGCCCCCTCCATTGTGACAACCAGAAATATACCTAAAAAAAACAAAAACCCATTTGCTGTCAAGTTGGTTCTGACACATAGCGGCCTTATAGGACAGAGCAGAACTGCCCCATAGGGTTTCCAAGGCTGTAGTCTTTATAGAAGCAGACTGCTACATCTTGCTCTGGCATAGCAGCTGATGGATTCAAACCACCGGCTTTTTGTTTATTAGCCAAGTGCTTTAACTGCTGCATCACCGGGGCTCCTTAAAATATAGCTAGACATTGCCAAAAGTCCCTGGTGGGGGGAGCTCGGGAGGGGAATCACTCCAGATTGGGAACCACTAGTCTCTGGGGATGGCGCAGGACCAGGCAGCGTTTTGTTCAGTTGTCTATACCAGGGTTCCTCAGCCTCGACACTAGTGACATTTTCGGCTGGATAGCTCTTTGTTGGGAGCCCTGATGGTGAAGTGGTTGAGAGCCCAAGCTGCGAACTGAAAGGTGGACAGTTCAAATCTGTATCTTTTTCCACTTTTGATTTTTTTTTCCCTTGGGCATACGTCTAGTGGTATATCCTGAAATGCTCAGAAATTATTACTTTATTGTTATTGTTGTTGATATTCTTAATATTACTAACACCAAAAAACCAAACCAAATCCGCTGCCGTCTAGTCGATTCTGACTCATAGTGACCTTATAGGACAGAGTAGAACTGCCCTATAGGGTTTACAAGGAGCGGCCAGGGCATTCAAACTGCCAACCTTTTGGTTAGCAGCTGAGCTCATACCCACTGCGCCACCTGGGCTCCTTCATTTATATAGGACTTCAACGTTTACCAAGTGTTTCCACCCTCGTTGTCCACACGGATTAATGCATGGCAGTGCGCTGCTTATAGCAAACTGGGAGAGAGAAGGGTATTTTCAGTGACTGTCCCCGTGCCTCTTTTTACTGTGCTTGGAACCCTGCAGGACAAAAGAGGTCCCGATATGAGGAGGGTGTGCTTGGGACAAGTCAGGTATTGTGTAAGTGAAATCTGGCTCAGATGATTAGTCATCTTGGAATGATACCCCTGTGGGGTAAAGAATTTAGCTTTACCCAAAGTCAGGTGGCCTTTGTCCTTGGTTCCTGAGATATAGCCCTCGGAATAATTGGGGTGCCTTGGTCTGGGCCACACCTGAGGATTTGTGTGAGTACCGGCTGGTCAGACCAGAAAAGACTCACCTGGAAGCTGATATCGGCTAGCCTCAGGAAGCATGGTTTAACTTATCAAGTAGGACTGGCCAGTAAAACCTGGTCAGTGAAGGGAGAGTGACGTGGCTTCTCTGAGACATGTCAGCTCCATGCTGGGGACCTTCCCAGACCTCACCTGTACATCTCTTTCCTATGATGATCCTGATTGATATACTTCTGCTGTAGTAAAATTGGTAGTCATAAGTACATCTTCCATGAGTTCTGTGAGTCATTCCAGCAAATTAACAAACCCAAGGATGGTGTCCTCTTGACTTGTAAGGTCTAATCTAGCCCAAATGGCTGGGATAAGAGAGAGAGACTGCTGTGTGGGCGGCTGGTGTCAAATGATGAAGAAGTGGAAATGTGGGGACTGGGTTAATCTCCACTTTCTGGGAATCAGCTTTATGCTGATTCTCATCCTCAGAGCTATCCTTGTACCCCTCTTCCTCTCAGTCTCTGCTAGCAGGGTCCTCGTACTTCGAAAAGCATACATCAGATCACATGTCTACCATTACACACCATTTCAGTGGGGTGGGGGGTGCTCAGGGAGGTCAGGAAGCCACTTGAACTTTCTGGGCCCCCTCACTGGAATGGTCCTGAAAACTATTTTCAGCATAAATGTGACAGCTGCAGTTTTATCATGCTGCACGAAGTAAAAACCAGATGGCATTTTTGATACAGAGAAACGACATTCCGCCATGCTTCCACCTACCTCCGGCCCCTCTCACCTGCTTAAGGATTTCAGCGGCGGTTTCGCGTGAACAATCGAATATCACATAGAACTCCTTGCCCTTCTTCATCTCCTTAAGTAGAGGCTTGGCATCTTTGTTCCCAGAGGGCAGCTGGCGGATTTTGATTTTAATGTTGTATCTGGAGGGAGCTTTGATGAGCTCCTGCAGACGAATTAGGCCTAGAAAACGACATGCAAGCATGCAGCAGAAACTGTTCTGTTGAAAGAATATTGTTCATTGGCATTTACAGTCAAACTCATATCATTCCCAAAACGTATCAAGTGGCCGCCTACCTAAACGTTGTATTATCGACTTCCCATTTGTCCTCCCTTCCTGTGGTGGATTTTACTGATATTTTCCCTTTGTGGATACGTGTGGCTTAGAAGCACAATTTTCCCAAGTGCATTTCAAATTTATCTAGAATGATGTTGTCCTCTCCAGCTGCTAGCCAACACCTCAAATCTTTAACAAATCAAATCTGCAACTGTAAAATTCTTGTTAACAAAATGTTCCTTGAACTTTCTAAAGGGGCCCTCCCCAAAATGGTGAATACCTACTCACTCAAAAAGCCAATAAAACCATTGCCGTCCAGTAGATTCCAGCTCATAGTGACCCTATAGGACAGCAGAGTTTCCAAGGAGCAGCTGCCCCACACAGTTTCCAAGGAGCAGCTGGTGGATTTGAACTGCTGACCTTTTGGTTAGCCGCTGAACTCTTAACCACTGCCAGGGCTCCAAAAAGCCAGAAGAATACTAGAATTTCTTAGGGCTATGAACTTGCATAAGTCTTTCATCAAGTATTCATGTATCACACGCTGTTTACCAGTCAATTAGTTTGGCTGGGTTAGATAACCTTCCAGTTCCTGCCATAGAAAACTATTTTCAAATGGTTCATTATACTCACTTTCTAATTACGACTGAACGTTGAATTGGAAGTCCTTACTTGATTAAAAAGAAACAAAACCAGAGAATGTTTAGAGATGATGATAATAAAAACAGAAACAAAATAAAAATTTGCCATTGGCGATTGTAAGAAAGGGCACACAGCCAACCAGCTGGAGGGAGAATGTTTGCTTCGCCACGTGTGTGAATCTGCTGAGCTGATCCGTTCTCAAACAGAAGCACTTTACGAGGGGGAGACACATGGCTACATGAAGCCTCAGACTTCTTTCCCCTCATGCTAACTGGTGCTGCTACGCTGCTTTCACTCCAGCGCTCTCATCTCATTGGAAAATCGACTTTTTTTTTAGTTCTGTGCCTTCAGGATTTGTCAGCTTCAAGGAATGAATAGGGAACAGTCAGCTTTCTGAGTGTTCAGATGGAAACTGCGGTACGCACAGTGTACGGCATGGGTCCAGCTTCCATCCACTTCACGCATTTCTCTTTCTTGTTTTATTTATTTAGTTTCTCTTTTTTACCGGAAGCCACATTTTTATGGCTCAAATGTGAAAATATTTCTTTAACATCATGGATAGATTTGTGTTATGGATTGAATTGTGTCTCCCAAAAATATATGTTGTAAATCTTAACCGCTACGATCATGGATGTAATCCCATTTGGGAATCGGGTTTTCGTTATGTTAATGAGGCTGTAACAGTGTAGGTATGTCTTAAACCAATCACTTTTGAGATCTAAAAAGAGCAGGTTAGACCCAGAGAGAAGCAAGCGCAGATGGGGGTAGATGGTACACCACATGAAGACCACTAAGGAACTAAGGAACAGAGGCTGGTAAGAGCCCACACAGGGAGAAAGCCTTCCCCTATAGCCCGAGCCCTGAATTTGGACCTAGCCTCCTAAACTGTGAAAAAATAAATTTCTGTTTGTTAAAGCCTCTCCCTTTTGGTGTTTCTGTTATGTTGTTGTTTGCGCTCCCGTTGATTCCTATGCATAGTGACCTATAGGACAGAGTAGAACTTCCCACCAGGCTTCCAAGGCTGTACATTTTTAAGGGAACAGATTGCCAGGTCTTTTCTCCTATCAAACTGCCGGTTGGTCTGAACCATCAACCTTTCAGTTAGCAGCCAAGCACTGAACCATTGTGCCACCAGGGCTCCTTATTTCTGTTATAGCAGCACCAAGAAACCAAGACAGTTTGGTTTTGATGTTCAGTAAATTTGTGATTATGCTGTTCTTTAGGATCCAAGGGGCAGAGTGGAGCAGGAGTTGTAGAACCATGTTAAAACTTTATGCTCATTTTCCTTTTTTTATAAAAAACATAAAAAACTGGAATTGTTAGACTGATATCCTTCTGTTACGGATTAAATTGTGACCCCCCAGAATATGTGTTGGAATTCTAACCCCTACACCTATAGATGCAATTCTGTTTGGAATTAAGGTTTTCTTTGTTATTAATTAGATCATACTCAAGTAGCTGGACAATGAATAAGGAAGACCAAAGAAGAACTGATGCCCTTGAACGATGGTGTTGGCGAAGAATATTGAATATACCATGGACTGCCAGAAGAACAAACGGATCTGTCTTGGAAGAAGTACAGCCAGAACATCCATTAGAAGCAAGGATAGCGAGACTTCATCTCACATATTTTGAACATGTTATCAGAAGGGACCAATCCCTGGAGAAGGAGATCATGCTTGGTAAAGTAGAGGGTCAGTGAAAAAGAGGAAGACCCTCAATGAGATGGATTGACACAGTGGCTGCAAC